CTTACGTCACTTTGCGAATACTGACACAAGCAAGTCAAAAATAAAGTATCACATTAAAAAGGCTATTGTGTGCTGGTGTTGTAGTGATTGCTATGGCCAAAAGTATATATCATGGTATATTTAAAATTTCTTACAGTTTTAATATATATCACAATATATATGGCTGCTGTCGGAACAAAACCTCATATCTCCACTTTTATAATTTTTCAGTTTTTGACATAATTTGAAAATGCTCATTACCCTTCCATTTCATGTTGAATGAACTAAAAGAAATGGCCCAAAATTATGTGGAAAGATGTTTGGTTCCATTGACATACATAAAAAAGTAAAGTAGGTTTTTTGCTTCCCCTGTAAAGTTATCATTTTGGAGATATGAGATTTTGTTCTGACAGCAGTAATATATTTTCAAAGCCATTTCAGATGTCTGTGTAAACTGATTTTCATAGGTTAACAGTGGCTTATTATTCTGGGATGTCCCATCCATTTTAATGAAAAAGCATTTTTAACAACCAAAGTAAACCTGAAATATTTGATTGTGCAAAATAATAAAGACAAACTTAATCAATGTGTAGTTAAACCTATTTCACTGTGGCTTTCTGTGCCAGCCACCACTGCTTGTGCATGTGTAATGAAGCACAGAATAGCCTATTCTTAATATTAAATCAGCAACATGTTATTTGTCTACCTACATAGGGGCTTTACAAATACTCAAGTTTCACTTTTGAAATAGGTTATTTTGTGCTTATGCATATGTTATGAAGTTCCTATGCAGGTAGCCTTCAAAAAATGTGTTGCTGATTTCATATTATTATATTAATGCCAAACAGCATTTATTGCTTTAACCAATTGCCTTTTCTGGTTACTTTATCAGACCTATTGGTAACTTTTGGTTGTTCGTAACTGCCTGTGTGCAAGCTGGCTTTTGCTCTAGTGTTTCACCCTTTTATCCCCCTACCCTTTTCCTTATAGGCTCTTCTTTTATTTCATCACTCCCATAAATTGTTTTGTTCAACTGCATTCTTTCTATCTGCACAGCTAAAAGATGTGTTTGACGTAAAACTGCAATCTTTTTGCTGTCTCAGTAAGTGGTGTTAATAAGGATTTGAATGCAATATGCATGAGAAGCCACTCCATACTGTATTCGTAAGAGTAAAAGGGTGTTCTTTGTGTGAGGGTGTACTGTCCACACAGGAAAACAGAAGAGTCCCTTTGAAGACAGACATGCTCTTTCTCCCATGGTGCATTCACTCACTGCCTACCTATGAATATTTCATTTACTCAACTGTGTGCATGTCAATCTGTGAGAGGAGGGGGGAGAAGAAGAAGAAGAAAAAGAAGACACTGTGGAATAAAAGGAAGAATTAATATGAGAAGATAATTATTGTGATAAAAACAGTTCATGTGGGTAAACATGTGAAAGCACTAGGGGAATATGCGAAGAAAGGAAAACAATCAGTATTTCCCTCATACTTTCTGTTCCTCCTCTTTCCTTCACACTGATGTGATTATACCAGCCCATCCTTCCTTTCATGCCTTCATCATTTTCACAGACATCACACATTGAAAGCATGTGCGCACACACAGAGTTATGTAACTGCAGTGTAATCCCACTCTGCATTATTACAGAATTACAGTATGCCCCCTTTATCCTTTATTGAATTGCACATTGTATTACCATATGCACTCATCACCTTGTGTTATCTCAGTGATTTGGGGGATTATTTTGGATATATCCTTCCATCCTAAACTGTTGTACTAGATTGTATTATATCATGTCACTGCACCTGTTGATCTACAACTAATTCTTCAATCTTATCTCTCAGCACTGGGTCTTCTATAAATCCCCCTTTTACCGCTTTCTCTCCCACTATAAGTCTGTTGGAACCTCAAAAGCTTTGAATTGTTTCAAGTGCTATGACTGATTCCAGTGGCATATCTACTGGCAGTGCAGGTGGTGCAATTGCACTGGGGTCCATCACTCTGGGGGATATGGAGACTGTTGCCTTTCTATTTTCTTTTCTGCAGGCAAGCAAAAGAAACATAGGATTTTGAAGGGAACATATAGTTATAATGAGATTCCACAGCTCACTCTCTTGTTTTCTGTTCTAAATTTGCAGGGCAAATGTTCACCTTAATGAACTCGGCACAAACTGGAAGTAAACACAAATGTAAGGAAGACACAGTTTGACTGACATGCAAAACAACCAATCACAGCCCGCTGTTTTGTCACAAAAAGGCCCTTATTGACCCTATTTCCACCATATGAAAATGCCTTCAGTGAATAAAAAAGATTTTTTTCTCCATATAAAAATGATCTTCAATTAATTGAATGAATTCACAATGTAATTTGCTTGTGTGCTCAATATTGCTAAGTCTCAACCAAGTTTGTACTTCAATATGGGCAAATGGTTTAAGTTTGTTTTTAAGTGATCCTTCATTTGAAACAAAATAAGGGGTCCAATAATGATGTTAGGGGGCCCAATCAACTCATTCCTCCATCCCCAAGCTACAGGCCCTGATTGCCCCACCTGTTCTGCCAGCGGTTATGCCAATGTCACCCACTCCCACTGTAAACAAGTCAAGCCATATTGGTTTTTAAAGTTTGTGGGTGTGAAATTGCAGAAGTGGAGATATAAGGGGTCCAATAAAGATGTTAGGGAGGTCAGTCAAACCCACTCACCAACCTTTCACCCACCCAAGTGACAACACCTGATTGCCCCACTTGTGTACTGCTAGTAGTTACGCCACTGTGACCTACTCTGACTGTTAAACAAGCCAAGCCATATTAGCTTATAAAGTTTGAGTTGTAAAAGTAGAGATGTAAGGGGTCAAACAAATATGTTAAGGGGCTCAGTCAAATGCACCCACTAACCCTCCTAACCTCCCTCCTCAGATATAGGCCCGGACTTCCCAGCCTGTACTGCTGCTAGTTAAGCCAATGTCACCTAATCCCACTGTTAGAGATATAAGGGGTCCTGTAAAGACGTTAGGGAACTTAGTCAAACCCACTCACCAACTCTCCACTTACTCAAGTAACAATCTGATTGCTCCACTTGTATTGTTGGTAGTCACACCACTGTCACCTACTCCCGCTGTTTTAAAAAGTCAGGTCAAAATGGTTTATAAAGTTCCCTCAAAACTGCAGGACTTGGCTGCATGATCCCAGCAACACTGAGAGTGAGAGGATGCCATGTGTGAAAGGCTGAAGGAAGGCCACGGTGTCTGGCACCTTGAGGCTGCTTTCCAACCCTTCTTAAGCCCACAGTTGCATTTCCTCATTCATATGCCTCTCGATCCCTTCCCAACCTGACTCCCCTCCAAGTCCTCTCACCTACATGACCCTCTCCCTCTGTTGTAGAGCTTTGAAAAGCAGTGTGAAAGGCAAATCCTCCAGCATCCCTGCTGAGAGTCAGTCTGTCCAGGAAGAAAGAATTAAACACCTGTATCGGCTGTTCTGGGATCAGTTATAGAGCGCTACAGCTGAAGGGTCTGATAAACAAGCTGGTTTCATATCAGCCTGGAGAGAAGATACAACGGAAGAATGAAGACAGGTGGTGAGCTACCTGAAAAAGAAGTATAGTTTTAGAAATGCCTTGGCAGTGAGGGCAAAAGGAAAAAAAGGAAGGAAAAAAAAAAAGATGAAAAGAGGGCAGATTTAGCACGTCCGGCTCTTGCCAGGATGCAGAGCACTATGTCAGGAACTTGGAGCAAGGTGAACAGTCAGAGGGCATGGAGAAAAGAAGAGATGAAAAGAGAGAGAGCTTATATAAAAGCAAGTGAGTTAATAAAGGTTTTAGCTGAGTCAAACACAGAGGATACACCCCACAGCAGCCCTTTTAACCACAGAAAATACAGACTGCACACTGCCAGCACACATACTGCATTTAATTTTGCTGATATAATGCTATTTATATCTACACCTCTGCTGGAAAGTGCAGAGAGAGAAATGCTTCATGAGTGGTTTTCTCTGCCCTACTAAACAAGTAAGATAAAAAACATTCATTATTGGTCAAGAGCCCAATACCATAGGCCTACATATAGCAAACATGCAGTTTGTGCATGTACATGGGTTTACAGACCTTCTGGAGGGACATCTAGTTATCTAACAAACTGTTATCTGTATAAATGTACACTATATGGTTAAAACAGTGGCAGCAGAAATTGTGAAGCTTGGTTGTCTATTTCTGCCCCTTTTTATAGATAACAGTATGTCATGCAGCGTTAAAAACCACAGTACATAACAACTCTGCGTGTTTTTTGTAAGTGTTAATTAGTGGCTGTGACGTAACTACAGGGGTGGGGTGGAGATGGGGGCTTCAGTTGAACTGAGGCTCATGGAGTACAGCAGCCTGTGGCAATCAGGCTCCCTTAGATCCTTATTGACCCCTCAAATATGATAGACAATCTAATTTCTTATCAACATACCTCACTAGTTAGCTTCCATTAACACTACACCGACAGCCCTGACATCTGTTTGTATCCCTCTTTTTCATAATGCATCTCATGCATGGTAACCATTTTTAAACAGATCCTGCAAAACCTGCAACATGACATACTCATTATTTATCATTTTAAAATCTTAAATAGATAGTCTATTGTAAACATTTAGGTTAACGTTAGACGCCAGTGGGTGGAGTATGCACTGTAGAAAATGAATTAATGTGATGCAATCATAAAACAAAAAAAAAAACCTAGCTACCTTATTTATTTGTACGTGTTGTCTTTTTAGCCCCTGGCCTACCACATACATTAGACTTTGCCCCACCAAGGCAAAAAATTTGGGCGTCCCTGATATATAATGATTATTAGCCTTTTCTCGATGTTCAACACCATTGCCTATAGCCACAAAAATCCTATCCTGGGTAAGAATAATGCTAATCTTCTTCAGCATATTTTCTTTCTGATCTTAGATAGGTATTAGAAAATCCAGCAATGTACATCTGACAATGTTGTAAAGAAAACAAACAAACAAACAAACAAAAAGCCAGAGAACCAAGAAATGTATTGACCTCATTTATATTTATTAAAAAGTTACATTTGTATTCAAGTTTTCACAGAGGACACTTCACAAACGCTGGTTTATTAAAGAAAGCAAAGAGAGGGGCGCAAAGGACCCCCACCATAACAATGAAGAGAAAAGAACAGTAAGAGAGAGAGAGGCAGGGAGGAAATGGTTTGAAACAGATGGCATGGCAGCACACAGAGAGAGACTCTGCTGTCAGCCAAGAAACTAAAGAAGGGGGGGTGAGACAGCATGAGAGTGAGAAAAAGAGGGGCATTACTGAAAGTGGTGGATACATTTTTAAAGATGTGTGAGATGGGGAACAGAACACAACACTCTTCCCTCCCTCACTGTATGGCAATACACAGAACACATGCATTAAACCACCAGTTAAATAACTACAGCAGAATGTTCTGTGGGAGTTGTAGCTGGAACCACACATGTGCTTTTGTTCAGTGCTGAGCACACTGTGTATTGAGACTGGGCACATAAAGGTTTGTCTTTGTTAACGTCTAGTATTCAGCAGAACTCAAAAATAAAGGTGCCAAAAAGCATAATTTGGAGAACTCTTATGAAGAAACCAAGTTTGGTTTCCTGAAGAACCTTTTAATGGGTAGTTCTTCAAATTCTCAACTGAAAGTTTCTTTAGGGAGCCTAAAAAGTTTCTTCTGTGGCATCATTCCAAAGAATGATATCTGGCACCTTCATTTTTAAGAGCGAGTCTACAAATATTTCATAATTCTCTGAGGCAGTCATTAGTGTCAATGCTAAAGGTAAAGGCTCAGAGATTTGCTCTACACCAGCTTCCTCCCAAAGACCCCCTTTGCAGCATCAAGTTATGCTCAACGCAAACCAACGAAAAGTAGTTGGAAGAGAAGATGAGCTATAAAGGGTCTATGCTGTCAGGTATCAGCTTCTCTCTCAGACATACAATCCGACGTAATTTCACATGAACATAAATTTGTACACACACACACACAGGTCAAATAGAAAAAGGGCTGCATAGCTGAGACAGTACTGTGAATACAAGTATATAAATATATAAAAGTAGGTAGTGCATGAGGGAGGAGGAGAGGAATTGGCCCGAGAACACTGCTAGGAGCATTTCCACACACACACAGCCAGACTGCCACCAAAGAACATATATAGTAGATTCTTCACTTCATGAGTCACTTCAAAGCCAAAGCCCTCCCCAATCACCACATGCCAGGAACTCCCAAACTTCTTATCCATAGACTCCTTTATCATCTTAGCTGCACTCTGAGAAAGACAGAAACAGAAAAAAAGTGTTGTAAGAAAATGACTAAGGACGCTGAGAAAAACTATAAGTCAACCAGCCCATTTTACTCAATTCAAATTAGTGTTGGGTGGTTCTGCTAAAATTAAACATCACAGTATTTTAAGTTTGATTTAGGCTTGCAATTACAAAGTTAATTCCTGGCACAATTTGTAAATGATGGAACAGTGAGCAGTGATTGTTTTGAAAGTTCAGCTGAACAGGGTGGAGATCCTGGGGACAAAAAAAAGTTACAGTACTGTACAAAAGTCAGAAAACATCCTTCATTTATTTAAAATTCCAGTCAAAACAACCAGTACAAGTTATTCATTTTTCAGAAGATATTTAGGAGGATATTAGATATAAAATAATCCACTTACATCACAAACAGGAAAGGTAAAAAAACAGGAGTTAGTAACAATGGAGTTCAAAACATTACTAAGAGAAATAAAGGGACTCCTAACAACCATGCAAGACGTGGTAGACCACAAAAAATGTCACCATCAGATTAATAGTACTTAAAGCTTTCATCTTAGGAAGACAGTAGATTAATGATAAATTAAGTTCCTCTTTTGCTTTAGATATGAAAAAAATCCACAGGTGATTGTCCATCCTTCTCACCAATGTGAGAAGACCATTAAACGCTATGGACAGTAGGATTTTCAAAAAAATTGCCTCTGTCGCACCCTGTGTTAAATAAAAATGTTCAGAACCCGATATGTTTTGTCTTGTGTACATTTTTCTCCCCAATACCACTGGATCCTCTGAATTACGAGGTCGTTAAAGAGCCTTAATGCTAATATTGCTACATCCGAGCTAAAGCTACTGTGCATCAATTTGATGTCACTGAGCTACATCAAACTAAGGTGGGCTGTGGCAGTGCTCTGACAAGTTGTGCTTATACCCATAAATAAAACCTCTGGGTAGTATATTTTGATAGGCTAAAACTCCTTATCAGAAATACTACCTGTGTTAAAACTACGAGGCTGAATTTAGCTTTTTTTTCGCAGCTTTTTGTTTAAATGTTCCTGTTCCACCTTAAATGGTGCAGCAGCTATGGTTAGCTATCACAAACATTAGCAAACGAGACAAAATACTGTCCTGTCGATTCTGCAAAACAGCAAAAATAATTTAATGTTACTCAGCTGTTAAGTGGAAAGAGAGAAACCTCCTCATATCATGCCTTTCAACCCTCCATGAAGCTGAAGTCAGCTTCTTTTTCGCCAGCTGCTTGTTCACATTTTCCCGTTCCACCTTAAATGGCGCAGCAGTTCAGAATTTCGAGAGCCTAAATCAGTTTATCAGGGGGTCAGCAGTAATATTAAAGTGAGTATGTACTGGATTAGCCTGAGTGCAGGTAAGTTTGTACAGCTTTTCAAATCAAGCTATGAACAAAATGGAAAGATCTATTGTGTATCAGTGAGTATCAGATGAAGAACAGAGAACTGCAGGGAAACCTGCTTCTTTTGTTCTGACTTCTTTTCATCTGCCCTCAATCTGTACATGGAAATGTACACTGACAAAGCATGCTTAAGGAGGCTGGCAGTCTAATGACGTGCGCAGTGCGCAGTAGGTTTAGCTCACATGTAGCAATATTCATATTTCTCTTTAACAACCTCGTAATTCAGAGGATCCAGTGTTATTCAAGAGAAGAATGTTCACAGGACAAAACGTATCGTACTTTATTTAACACAGGGTGCAATAGAGGCGTTTTTCCAAAAACCCTATTCATTCTCACCATAGAGAAATCAGGCTTAGACCTGGAGTTCCTAATATGGGCATAAGAGCTTGTCGCTGACTACAAAATGACGACACGACAAAAGTGGTTTATGGGCAACTTAGTGTCCACCCCAGAGCCCTGACCTCCAACATTACTGAATATGTCTGAACTGTGAGAAACAAAAAATGCAACCAAGACTGAACTTTGGGGGTGTGGAAAGATATTCAAGAAGATTTCTTTGAAAAACTGAAAGTAAGTCTCCCGAAAGCAATGGACGCTGCAATAACACTACAGCATAAATTCAAACGCAGCAAACATGACAGACTGTATATTAAAGAAAGAATAAGGGCAGAGAAAAAGAACGTGTAGGCTACTGTAACAGTCCAGATGGTTACGCTATGAGAGTCTGGCATGATGCAAGTGTACAGACTTTGGTCCAGACAGTGAGGAACTGCCAATACGCCCACAAGTGTGGACTGGACAATAGGGCCAAGTAAGACGCCACATCCATACACCTCAACTTATCTGAGCAAGGTACCATAAAACACAAAGTTCTGACCTCGTTGTTGGTGGCAAATTTTTCACAGGCTGTGACACACAATTCCATGGTCTCTACTCTCATCTCCTCAGGCATATCTGTGTGCTACAAGAGAAACAGGGCAAAGACAATATTACCTGATTAATGTGTCCATTAAAGACTTTATCCAAGCAGCCATCTATATTCATTTACAAATGAACTAAAGAAAACAGTGTTATTTTCAGTGGTCAAACATGAAACCTGCCAAGACCTCCACTTTTAACAACTCCTGTCTGAGGGAGCATCTGCCTAGCTGGATAATCCTAGCTAAACAGGTACTGTGTATACCATTTTCTTTGTTTTAGAATAAAAAAGCAGCTGTTTATTAAACTTAAAATCTGTTGTGTATGTTTTATTGTGAGTGCCTGTCAGCTACGTTAGTTATGATCAGATCAGAATGCAGGTGGAGCATGAAGCACTGTCACACGCACGCTGTACACAGTTGCATCACCTCCACCACTATCAATAAAGAGCCATCATAGTTTAGAAAGTGTTGTGCTGTAACATTCACATCATTATTCAGTCAGTTCATCACAGAATGCTCTCTTTCTCTCTCTCTGCCTTTTTGTTTGTGCGTCATTAAGGGTGTGAAAGGCTGTTTAATTGTCAAATAAATTACTTTGTGCACAGTCAAAAATGAATCAGTATGATTACCAGGAATATATAAAAAAGAAAATCAGCACTGGAGTGCTAAACTGCTGTTGTTGATAATGACATTAATGGTAGAAATATACTATACAGGTATCAGTTAACTTATACAGTTTAAAGGCTATGAATGTAATGTTTACTGTCTGTATATGTTGACAGCTTTTAATGTAACCTAAAGTTCAGGGAGCTAGCGGCCAGTAGGACTGTCACTATTTTTTTTTAATACAGACTTAATTAAACAGTAACAAACTCTGCCGAGCCTTTCAGGGATCCTAAACTCCTTTACTGGAAACAGAAAAACTAGGAAGCCTCTTATAATCATCTAACCATGAGATGCATGTGCTTTAGTTTTGTCTGTGTAGATTATTTACAATAATGTAGGCAAGTCAATGTAGAAATATTTTTAGATTGCAGATATACAAAAAAGTAACTTAATTACTTAGTTTTACAATAATCTACATATTTAGTCTTACTTGAATTGTTTCCTTTACTAATACTTTTACGTGTGCCCAAGTAATTATCATTACAGTAACAGTACTTTTACTTAAGTACGAATTTCCAGTACTCTTTCCAACCTTACATTGAAGACTAATTTAAAACTCACCCTGATGAGAGGAAAGCTGTGTAGTCTTTTGTAGTCTGTCTCCTCTTTCTTACTTTCACCAGTTTCTGCCATGATGATGTCTTACTAGAAAAAGACATAAATACAGAAAAAGCAACAGACATGATGCCAGACAGAATCCCACATACTTCATGGACATTTTAATATGTAGAACAGCTGGGGTGGTATTAAAGACAGTGTTACATTTAATGCATTGTGTGCACCCAAGATTTAAGATAAGATCATGTAATGTATGAAAATGCAGTAAACAGTGGACACCAGGTGACAAACCACTTATTTTCTATACATGACAATTTCTGGAAATCATAAAAATCTGTCCATCTTTGCCACAGTCCTGCAAATATTACACAGATCCTTATATGCCTGCTCTGATGTAGCAAATCCAACTCATTAGGCCATTATCAAGCCCTGCATTTGAGCAAACAAACAAAACTGTGCAGTCCTTGGGGTCGTCAGGACTGGGATTAGGAACCAGTGCAATAAAATGACCTGACGCTACACAATATATACAAGCATATACAAGTGGAAATGGTACAAAATATTAGAATAAACATTAAATAACAATTAAAAAAACTGTTGCAAAAACTTGGTGTAATGTACGTTACAACGTTACCTTGCTGTAAACCAGGTTACAGACGTCTGCTAGCGAGCTAAAAAAGACAATAGCAATAAGTGTATTCTTAGCAACGAGCACTAGATTGACAGTTTCCCCAAAACCGCCAAAAAAGCCACAATAAAGTAAAAGAAACTGCAAATGCTAAAAGTAGGAAAAATGAGAAATGTGAGAAGTTGGTGCACAGGCTAAAGCTGAAGCAGGCTCGCACAAGTTTGTTTTTAGCTACGTGCTAACGAGCTAAGCCTGCTAACCAGTTCGTTCCCAGGCAACGCGAGCTGAATCTGTTACATTAATGCTAGCGTATATGTCGAAGGCGAACGCAGAATAAAATCGCAATACTGTTTTCGATGCTATACATTTGGCATTTGACGTTACCGTCGACTTATTTTACCAAGAAATAAACTTACCTGAACTACTGTTGACATGGAGACCAGCCACCCATGGCAACCGCTGAGGAGAAAACCCACGTGATCTTTCTATTTCCGGCGTACATCTGTTGAATCCTTCTTTGTTCACAAGTACAAGAACAGTGGTTTTAAAGTTTGTGTGCGTTCTAGATGCGTTAACAGTCATCATTCATTCATTTTTGAAAGTGGAACATGAAGGTCTCTGTTCTGTTGGTTTGAAATCTCCATTAAAGTGACACTCAGGGTAAAGTGAAAAATGGAACTCCTGCTTCATCTGTTTTAAACATGCCTACTCGCCTCCTACAGCGATGCCGCAGCAGTTTGAAATTTAATACTTTTGCCTATTTTTGCCCTTTTACGCGTGGTGGTCACTTTAAGAAACCACCTTGTTCTCATTGCTTAATTTGCAGTGATGTTTAAAGAGAGAACCCATACGTTGTTTAAAAATGTTTAATGTTGTTTTGGGACAGTTAAAAATGGGCTTGGTTGTTGAAGTAACCTGTCCAAAACTGCTTACCAGGTGACTCAGGATGTTTTCTTTATGTGTGGTTGTAATTTTTAATTTTTAATTTAATTTAATTTTTAATGATGATGATGATAATAATAATAATATATGCACAAAATGTTGCAATTTTGCCTCATAACCACTGTGAATATATATGTAGTGCGTGGTCACATGGCTAAAAATTGGTGGTCACCCAGATTAACCACAGTGCATTTAAGGTAAACACATAATAACAAGCAGAAATGGTGATAGACGTTGTATCTATAGGATAACATTGTGTTTGTTCGTTTGTTGGTTTTTCAAAAATAGAGATATTTCCTACAGCTAAATTGATATGTACTATATTGCATTGCATCATGGAAAAACAAAAAATGAGTGCTGAGAAGGTAGCAATACTTTTGCTAGAAGAAATTCCATTAGATTCTTCATGTAGTGAGAGCGAGAACAGTGATAGGGATTATGAGGGAGATCAGGGAGGTTATGGAATCCAGAGAAAGAGGTAGTGAAACTGACCAGGGCAGTGACACAGCTGTAAATGCACACATTCTGTACAGCAAGCAGTTTCTGAATGACAAGATGACTTTGAAGGATTTACGATGCTCTATGGTAACTGGTTTAGTGAAGAGCATGACAAGTTCTAACGAAGATTAAAGACTGTCAACTGAGAGAAGAGCAAGCCAGGCTGAGTTCTCACACTGCAAACCACACATTCCAAGTGAGAAACACAAATCTGAAGCTACTCACCTCCCAGTGCAAAGCAGATAAAGGTGCTGTACTGAGTGCGAAGTTTGGCTGCTTTTTATCACAAAAACTGAAACAAGACAACAAAATAATAGATCAAGCTGTGTATTTAATGAAAAATGTAAATTATATAATCAGCACCACTTAATGTAGTGGTTACTCAGAGAAACCACCAAAGAAATGACCTTTGCACCACTTAATACACAGTGGTTACTCAGAGAAACCGCATCAGACATTTGATCCTGAACCTAAAAAATCTCACCCCGATTTGTTTTAGTTTAATAAATTGTAACTTGTTCATATCAATAAATCTGGTATTTTTGTCTGTGCATGAAAGGGTAAGAAATATCCCTCATGATCATGTAACTTGACAGATAGCAGGCATATATTGGTCCACTTGCTTAATAATGTTGGCACCCCTCTGACTGTTTGCCACTGCTGGTCCACCCTCAGACCACCCAGATTATTGTCCAGCATACAAGGTCTAACTAGTTTTTAATCTCCTCAAACAGATTTTAAATACACATAGTCTGTTTTTTGAAAAATAAACCAAGAAATAATATTACAAACTACTGAAAAAAAATACTATGCCCAATATAAAATGATTGTGTTGAAAATGTTGCTGACCATGTGCCAGATTAGTAACAGCTGTATAACCGGCCTCATTTGTGATACTGCTGTTAAAATCATTTACTGAAATAATTTACAAAGGATAATGGAAGAAGGAAACAAAGGAAAAATGAGTCAATTGGACTGCGAGTGGAAAATGAGTGATTAAAAGTGACATTTTGTCTACTACCATTGCGCTGCCCGGAAAACACTGAGCAAAAAAACAGTGGGCTGCCAGCTTTGCCATCAGCAGGCAACAGTGGTCCGCTATCCTCTTACTATCTAATGTGGGATGAAATTTTGGAAAACTAAGTGCAGGCTGTGTATTTTTTTTCCCCACTACTAGCTGGCTATTGCAGAAGGAAGTCAGATAGTTAACGTTACGGCTAGGAAGCCGAATATCATGTCTTTATTTATGAGCCTACATCAGTGGGTAGGCAGCAGTAGGGGATTCCCAAAGGTTGTAAGATGTATATGCACAGTTCATGCTGGGTATTGTAGTGAGAGAACGTTGATGGATAGAATCACAAAAACGATTGTATATTCTGTCACACTAAAAAGGCTAAGAGGACGCAATACTGGGCTACACAACACTGCACTACACAACAAATAACATTAAATGTTAGTTTTAGGCTGAAATTTCCCTTGCAAGCTGTTGATATATTCATATATAATTACTTCTGTCATTTTATACATGCTTAGATATTTAAAAAATTATGCATTATTTTAGAAAAGGTCTGTTTTCACCTGGACTTTAAAAATATATTATAATCAAATGCAACTTGTGCTGTAAAAGCAGACACATTTTCACTGCTGCTCTTGCCCACTGAAGTAATAAGGAAGGTTCAAACAGTAAAACATTTAGCAGGATGCAAAAGACGATCCTTGATCACAGAATCATGAGGAAATCAGCTGCCATCACCCACTACATGACTCTGTAGTAAGGCATATTTGTAAACAAGGAAAACAGTCTACTGCACACACTGTGAAATTATAGTTAATAAGAAAAAATAACCAATATCAGGAGGAAACCTAAGGGATCACAGTCAGCCACTACCTGTTTTGTCCTATGTGTGCTACATGCTTTGAATCCACACAGCTAACATTAGTTGTTATAATTAAGGACAAACAGCTTCTGACAAGAACTTGCAGCAGAAATATCTGCTACCAGAGATAGAAGAGTAGTTTGCAGATGTGATCATGAATGAAGATGACTCTAGGCATATAGAGGGATTTAGTGATTCATATCCTTAATAGACAGGATCCAAATTATTAATGTGAGAAGGAGGGGAAAGTTCAACCAGCCATTCTGATTGTAGGGGGGAAAGCTGTAGTAGCCAATCAGATTGAAGGAGGATAAATTCAACTAGCCAAACAGACTGCATGAAGGATAGTTCAACTAGCCAAACATTTTCCAGAAGGATAAAATTCAAACAGCCAATCAAATCCCATGAAGGCAAATGCCACAGGAGAGAAAATTCAGCTTGGTAAACACTTACAAACAGTAAAAAAAATCCCCTGGATTTGCCTATTTACCAGTCTAAATCTGCTTTAATATTAGTACCCAAAGACAAAGCACCTCAATGTAAAAGATTAGCGAGTGCAGAAGGCTACAGTAGGTTTCTCACCTTTCCAGATCTCACACATCTTCACCTTTGTGTCTAAATCCTGACATTTGTATGGCAGGTTATAATGAATATGGACACAAAAATCTGCAGAATCAAGAAGAAAAGTAAACAAAACTTTCTGGCTACACTTACATTTTTTCCTTTTTTAAAATAAACCCTTTTTATTAATTTACACATGTTGTAGAATTTGGCTGTGTGTTGGATTAGATGGGATTACACATTCATGGATAGATCAGTGTGATCTAATCCCTGTAGGAATTATTACATTTGATAAGATTAAGGAAATTGTACCAGTAAATGGTAACATTTGGATCCATTTCAACTCGGGCATCAGAGAAGAAGTGAGAGTGAGCGATGACGATGATGATTATGATGATGAAGTGTGTGTGTGTGTTTGAGAAAGAGAGACAGACAGACAGACAGACTGCATGTGTCCTCATTTCTTACAAAGTAGGTCCACACTGTGACCTAATACAGGAATTGTGTGAATGTGGCTAGCTAAATGATTTGAGACGATGGGACACATATCAAATCCCACTGCTCCAATTTCACCTACTCAGCCCATCTAGCCTAGTTTCTTTAAAGGGCCTATATACTACATCTTTCTTGTATATCACAAATGAATTAAACAGGCTGTATTTGTTGCGCCTTTTAGACTGAAATTTGTAAATGATTTATGTTTTGATTGGCTGCCTTCTGTTGTGCCTTATTCAAAAATGCAGATCAGGCTGAAACAATTTTTAAAGCTTAAGAGTAAACAAGCAGGGCTAAACTGCTGTAGGCTGAATGGAGGACAGATGTAATTTGCTTTTCATGAGATCACAGAAACACCAAATTTAAAATGGGCTGCTTTTGCAGCCTAGTTTCCATATATGGACTGAATGGACTGTGTGGAGTGAATTGTATGTTTTAAAACTTTAATGCAACATCAAATTATTTTATTTTTAAAAAGTGAGGAAAATTAGGTCCTTTACATTGTGATATGAGAACAGGAAAAAAATTAGACACCCGTGAATCAAATCAGTGCATCCTAACTACAAACAGTTTGGTCACACTGGATTTATCTTTATGGAAGTGCTGTTAAGCCAAATCATCTGATTTCTTTAAATAGGAATTCCACTGATTTTTCAAAATACTTACATAATTAAGTCAAGTCAAAGTTTATTTATATAATGCTTTTTACAACAGGTGTTGTCACAAAGCAGCTTTACAGAAAGAAATCTGGGTCCGCGCCCCCATGAGGAAGCCAACGTCGACAGTGGCAAGAAAAAACTCCCTAAGAGCAAGAAGAAGAAAACTCAAGATCAACACCATATAGCAAACAATTACAGCAGAAAATAAGGTTTGACTCTCAGTATAAGATTTGGAAAAAGGATCAAAGCAGTAGAAGCAATGTCTATGATCAAAAAATGCAGCAGTATTATGAGGAGGGTCAGTGGTGTGCAGGTAAGCAGGTAAGCAACAGCATTAGGATGGGCAGTTATTCCGCTTGGCAAAGAAACACACAGGCAGTTAGTTATGTTAAGAGAGTTTGATTACAGTACACAATGTTAACAGAGTGCAGCAGAGATTCCGGCAGGTCGAGCTAATACACCCTAACCAAAAGAGAGAAC